TTGGTGCTGTGCGCGCTGTGGGTTGATCAAGACCCTCCTCCCTCCCCTGAACACGGCGGTCGGGGAGGAAAGCGGGAAAGAAGGCGAAGAAGGGGAGGAAGAGGGCGCAGATGGCGCGGAGAACAACGGTGGTAAGCGTACATACGCCGAAGCCGTCTCTCAATTGTACGTCCGTGCGGCCTCGGAGAGCGCGGCGAGCCAAGAGGAGGCACGGGGCGAGGACGAGGAGGACGGCGGGCAAAAGGACGGTGGGGTCAAGCCCTACCCCACTTTAAAACACGAAAGTGGAGGTTCTGTGGCTCCTTCCGTGCCCACCCCAGCAGAGCCGAACTTGCGTCAACAGGCGGCAGCTCCTACCTCGATTCCTTCCTCCTCTTTGGCAAGGCAGCGCTCGGCAGGGACAAGGTCGTCTTCCATAAACTCTTCGGCAGTTGCGTTTGTGGAGGAGAACGAAGGGGAGGAGGAGAAAGAGGACAAGCTCTTCTACCTGGCGGTTTTCCTCTTTCTTCTCCTGATCCTTTTAGTCGGCCGAAAACTTGCCCGGGCGTGGATACGACAAAGAGGGGTTTATCTCGAAGAGGGTATTTCAGCGAGCGGGTGGGAGGATGGAATTGATCTGTAAAATGAAAAAAGACAGAAACAGTAGGTGGAAAGAAAGGGAAGTGTCTCTTATACAGAATTAGAGAGGATACAAATGTACGTATGCTTTTTATCTTTTAGGATGAAAATAAGCACACAAATAGACAAATTTACACTCATCATCTCTAAGGTGTATCGTTCTTGTCTGGAGCATTTATACATTTGGCGACATAAAATTCGTGTGCCCCCTTATCTTCACTTCCGCGCATTCAAGCAATCTTCTGACAATATTCACCGAAGCTTACAAGTCTACTAATCGCAACTCATCCAAGAAACAATAGACACGGACTCTCGAATCCTTGATTACAATGCCCATTATGAACATCTTGCTGAACGGCGGCGATGTGCCTCGTGAAGTGCCTGGCAGATAGCAGGGCAGAAGTGCCCAAGGATGCCATTCCATGCATTCCATGCAATCATTAAAAGTTTATGAAAGATTTGTGAGTCCCCCAGCTTAGTAAGTCGCCTTGTCTTTTTGAAGCTAATCTGATACAAATGCAGCTATTTCATGCATCTGTAAGCAACTTTGCCGTGACTTGTTACAAGCAACTTTATTTTCAAATTTTTGAAATTTGAATACTCGGTTTCGCCCGATACGAGAGGGTTTATGGCGTCAGACAGAAACTTTATCCACGAGCGCCGGGACCGATAGTGGCATCTTGGCCATTTTTTGGATCCGTAGATAGATTGTACCCTTCCTTAGTTGTAAACGGGATTTTGGAAGTTCTTCTCATCCACATGAGGATAGATTGAGAGGATGTGTAAAATGGCGTACACGCTTCAAGTGAAAACCACTTTTTCCCATCCCTACCTGGTGTTGTGCAACGCAATGAACCGCATTATAATTAATGTTCTTCCCTCTTGGAAACACATAAAGATCATTGATCGTCCAACATTTTTCATACCCATGTATCCCTTCCGACAGGAAGCTCGCGTGAAAGTGAGAACAGGGTAAGAGGAGCAGATGGGGCTCACACGCTCTCCCGCATTCATTGCCTGCGTGGCAGTCCTGGTGTGTGGTATGGGTGTCGATTCTGCGGAATCAACATTGGATGACTGCAAAAGTGCCCTAAGCTCCCTTCCAGAGAAGCCTTACAGCACATCATTGCCTAGCATGGCCGCGTCCTCGGGTACGTACATGTTTGATATTGCAAATAAGGGACACGAATTGTCTGCTATTCAGCTCACACGCGGTTGCACTATAGTCTGGGGGGGATAGGAAGACTAGGTTGCCATTTCTCTCTCCTCTGGATAAGAATTTCGCCACCCCCAAGGGCAGTTTCATTTTCTAATGTACGCCACATACTGCGTGATGGCACCGGACCAAATTGACTACGAGCACTCCGCAATCTCTCCCGACAAGAAAAGGCGACTTAATGAGGCTAAAACAACCAGCCAGACCCTCACCATCCTCCTCTAATGCCCTTCTCCCCTATGCTTGCAGGAGACTTTCCATTGGCCTACTCGTTTCAGAACCGGATCGTCTCTGTATTCGCCGCCAAGGTTTTCGGTGCCTTCGACATGTGTCAGAGTCCGTCTCTCTACTCCTGGAACGCACTAGAGACACATTTTTGTACCTTGGGAGGAGACGTACGTTAGGGGGTGGGAGGGAGGAATGGGGGGAGGAGGACGAGAGGAGAGTTTGGGAGGAGGAGGTGGGAGGGAATGGTGAGAAGCGAAGGAGAGATATGACAGGGACTGGATGTAGAACGAAAGGAGAGGAAAGCCATGCCAGTGGGACACGGAGGAGGGAAAGAATTGCATGCAAAATCATAAACGAAGGGCAGGGACGCTGTTTCGTGACAGGACAGGATGTGCGAAAGGAAAGGCCGTGGGAAGGGGGAGTTTGAAACGTATGAGAGTGAGGAGGAGCGGGCCTCGTTTGGCAATTTGCGCGCGGTTGGGCTCATGACTTCTCCGTCTTTCTCTCCCCTCCTTTCCCTTCCCCGCGATTTTCCCTGTTACTCTCTCTTTTCTTCACGTCTCCTCTCACAGGTGGCAGGGATCTGCATGCCGGAGGCCTGCTCTGAAAACGTCCTTCGGTCGCAGGTTAGACCCTCCCCCCCTGCCTCCCTCCCTCCCTGCCTCCCTCCCTCCGTCCATTCTTTCCGTCCTTCGGATATCTCGTACATCCCCCATCAGACTATGTAATTTGTACCTTTGTCTGGCGTAGTTGCTTTTTTGTTGTTGTTATTCCCCTGGCATATTCGCCCTCTGTCATTGTCCCTTCTTTCTTGCGTGCGAAATGAAGCCCCCTGCCATACACCGGCACTCCCCACCGCAACGCTCGAAGCGTGAACCCCTCCCTCCCTCC